AAAGAGTCATTCATAAAGACAAATATTCCTGTTAAAATACCTTTCATCAGGGCGCCTGGCTGGCTCGGTTAACAGAACATGCGACTCTTGATCTTGAGGTCATGAGTTTGAGGTTCATGTTGCATGTAGAGATTACTCAAAAAGAAAAAAAATTTAAAAAGGTCCTTCCTCAAAAGATAGCATGAAGACTAAAAATTTACCCCAGAGAGTGGGAAAAATATTTGCAACGCATTTAACCAACAAAGGCTTTGTTTCCAAAAATTAAATTCTAGAAATGCTTTTTCAAAGAACTTAAAAACATTAGAAAAAGTCGGCAGAAGATTGGGAGAAGAGCTCTTGAAAAAATGACTATTGGGAAAAACGCTTGGAGTCATCAGGGAAATGCAAATTAAAGTCACAATGTCATACCAGGACCTACTAGACAGGCTAAAGTGAAATTAGCTAATACCACATGCTGGAGAAGATGGAGAGCAACTGAAAGTCTCATGACACTCATGGTGGGACTGTAAATTGCCCAGACTCTATAATACCAATTGGCAGTATCTACCACATTTCAAAATATACCTCCTCTTTGACCCACAAATTCTATTCCTAAATACCCATTAGATATGCATATGTATGAAAATATCTGAGCAAGGATGTTTATAGGAACATTTTTACAGTTGTTCTGAAGTTTTTAAAAATTAATTTTATTAAAATGAATTTATTTTCCATTCCTATCATGAAAACATTTCTGAAGTCAAGGTACATCTGTTTTGAAAATCTCATGAGGCCTGGTAGATACTCGTTTTCTTGACGGGAAAAATGCATTATTTATTTTTGACCAGCATTATTGTCACGCTTGATTGCCTAATTCAAATAATTTATGAAAATTCAACTATAGATCGTATAATTCATTTCCTAGAAATCTAAAAGCTCTTTCAGAGAAGTTTACTTTTGTAGCATGGATCTCATCTTTTCTTATTTCTCTTTTCACTTATTTGCTTTGTTTTGTTTTACAGGCGAACAAACCTGGCTACAGATCTCTTCTATGTCATTTAATTTGCTTTGTAGCTGAATATTGCCTATACAAGTTTAGGAAAATGAGTATTTTTAATTTTATTGGTTACTGAGGTAATGCTTTTATACTTAAAAAGTTTCCCTTTAATATTTTAAGATCAATTTTTATCCTTAAATAATGTAAAAAAAAGGGGGGGACTTAAAAAACTAATGGTACCTCAAAAGCTTCAATGGAGTATTTCAATGAGACACTAAGTTTTGTTCTGTGACTCTCATATGCCTTCAGCAAGTTTTCATTTTATAGCCAATTTTAGCCCCTACATGCTGGCACTTCTCTTTCCTGAGGGCTATAAAGTTTAATAGAGTCCCTGAAACAGAGCTCACACCGTGACAACAAAGGCCAAGGTGAGATGTAGGAAAGGCTGACAGCCTAAATACAAAAAGACAGTCAACCCCCTCCCACTCCACCTTTTTCTCTTTCAAAAAAATGAACAGGCAACCAGAAAAAAAAATTGGGGGAACTTAGTGAAAACTAAGTGAACCCCACCCCCAACAATGACAGAGTTCACTGTTAATAATTGGGAAATGGTTATACATCTGTGGACCCTCTCCTAAGGTAAAAAAGTCCGTTTATTTCAATTTAGGGGGTTACAATTTTGTATATCCCTGGGCTGAAAGGTGAATCTATTGAGTTCTGAATATAGAAAAATTAGAGCCCTTAATGTAAAAAACAAAATAACCACTAGTAGGTAACCTTGTATTTGTGTATTTACTTTCTAAATATCTAGAAGAGAGTGTATGTATGGGTAGGAAGGGGTTGGATTGTTTTTGTTTGGGTTAGATTTCATTTTTGAATTGCAATATATAAATTTAAATTTTCATCATTGCCAGATATGAATCAAAAGTTTGTTATTACAAAAAAATATGTTACATAGCACTGAAGACAGGTATATCCAATTCAAAGGTCTGGATTTCTAGAATGCATTAAATTTGTAAAGTTCCCTTTAGGAATTTTGTAAAATTATATACACATTTTGTACACACACACACACACACACACATGTATATATGTATATATATGCCAGTATATATGTGTGTGTGTATATATATATATATATATATATGACATCTATTTCTAAATATAGAATGTTATTTCTAAATGTGTACTAAATATAGGGCATACTGGCATTTTCTTATTTTCCCCTGGAATGTGAGTATTTGAGAATTGTTCAATATTTGAGTTTCACTTAAAATTTCATAAGTCTTCAGAAATTAACTTATTATTTCTTCACACACTAGTGTTGGCTATTTTCTCAGTTCTTCTGCATTTTTGCCAAGTGACAAAGTCTGCTTTGCAGACAATAGTTGAAAAAAATTCTATAGAGCTGAATAGCAATTAAATGAGGGATAAAATATGACTTCAGAAAAAGCTATTTAGATGAAGTGATTGTGACAGAAGCCAGCCTGGATTTTACTGAAGAATGAATAAAGTGTAAAGAACGTTCACTTTTCACTGAAATTAAAGTGTATTATACATTCTTACTTCTAAGGTTATTTTTACTACAGATCTTTCCTGACAAACAAAAAACTAAACAATACAATAAACTTCCCTATACTCATTACCCAGCTTCAACAACTATCACCAATGTGTCATTCCTGTTTCAGCCTTTCCCCTTCACTCTTTTTTAAGTATTTGAAAGAAATTCTCAAACATATCATTTTAGCTCAAAACATTTCTAAATTCATCTTGAAACAAACAACCAAAATTGAACAGGACTTTTTTTTTTTTTTAAACATAACAACAATGCTATTCTCAGTACTAAAAACTTAAATGATTCCTTATTAAAATCTAATTCCCAGGCTATATTAAAAATTTCAACATACCTCATCTTTTAATAGTTGGTCTATTTGAATGGGGATCCAAATAAGGTCCACTCATGTTTTTCTCATGTTGAAGTCAAATTTATTTAGAATAGCTGCTTCTTCCTAATTATTCATTATAACTGGGGATTTGTTTGTTTTGCTACTGAGTTTTTGGAAAATTCAGTCAGCTAACCTATAAAATGTTCCACTTTCTGGATTCTACTATTTTCATTCCTTGAGATGTCTTCTCTTCCTTTACCTCCTCCTTCTCCTGCTCTTCTTCCTCCTCCTCTTCTTCTTTTTTGTCCTTATTTTTATTTTCTTTTTAATTTTTTAATGTTTATCTATTTTTGAGAGAGAGAGAGAGAGAGAGAGACAGAGCATGAACGGGGGAGGAGCAGCGAGAGAGGGTGACACAGAATCTGGAGCAGGCTCCAGACTCTGAGGGTGTCCAGCACAGACCCTGACACGTTAGGAAGCTGGCCCAGCAGAGGCCGAACTAATGAACCATGGTGTATGACCTGGTGAAGTCAGATGTAACCAGCCCCTAAGAACCGCAGGTGTTCCAATTTTGTCCTTATTAAAAAAAAATCTTTTATATTTCAAAATGTTCATGATAAGGTGATGGCATAGATTAGAATGTTTTATATAATGTGTCTATCGATTTGCCTATAGTTTTGTGATGTTTTGAGTTTATTAACTACAGCATGTAAAATTACATTTTTATTTGCTAGATAGCATATGGTTCTGGTGTGGATCCTGGTTTCTGGGGCATTCAACTGGTCTCATTTCCATGCAATTATCTTGGCTGTCACAACCTTTCCAACCATGGCATGTAAATGCATGTAGCATCTTGGATAACATGAATACAGAGAAATATAAATTTCAGATCTTTGGGCTATTCTCAGCCTTTTCTTTTGTAACAACCTTCTTTGTTTTCAATAAACTATAGTAGGTTTTTGTTTTGGTGTTTTTTTTTTTTTTTTTTTTTTTTTTTTTGCTTGTTTGTGTTTGTTTCTTTGTTTTAGGAGTCTGTGGGTTGAAAGTTTCAATTGGTGAAACACAAGATTTGAGTAGAAGAACAAACTAAAAATATGTTTGCTGTGTCTGTTAAGAAAAACAAAAAAGACAAAAAACTTTGACTCTGTCTTCTTTTATATTTACTCTGCTTGGCTTGTACTAGCTTTTTCATTTCCGTATCTGACCTTGCAGGTGCAGGTTAAAGGCAAAGAAGTGGTTTAATCCTTCTTAGCTGAAGTAAAGTCCATTCACCAAAGTATTCTTCAGGCGTCTGCCACTCAAAATATGAAATATTTGTATATAATGTATGGAAATCAGAATTTCTGGAAATTAAATTATTTTTGGTTTAAATTCAGTAATGATAACTTGGGCCCCCTGCTTCAGTGTCTTGATTTACCAATCTCTCCCTTACAGTGAATCCCAAATAAAGCCACTAAAGCACAGTTCTGTTCATGTTGTAATTATTTTCCCCAAGTTTTGTTACTGGAACACAGAATGCTTTCCTACCCATCACACAATGCATAAGCTGATCAAAAACTACCCTTTCAGGCACTCTGCTCCTTGTTACCTCCCTGAACTTAGCCACTATGCAACCCTGCTTTCCTCAAAGCTGGCCATGCATTTTCATTAGCACTTCAGATTTTTTTTTTTTTTGCATAAACTTCTCCTTTTCTTTCTAGAAAAGTTAGGTTACACTTGCAGACCTGATTTAAAGGAGACTTCAACTGTGGGGGAATTCCATAATTCTCCCAGATTTGTAACCATTATTTCTGTATCATTACCATAGCATTTTGCTTATGTTTGTTTGACAGAACCTCATTCTACAGTGGAAAATAGTGGCTTACATATCCGACTCCCTTGGAGAGAAATCATGATGCAAATTTTTCTGCTAAGTGACTGTGCATCCAACTAAGAGTCTATGCATATTTTTTAAACACCTTAAAGTTTAGAAAGCCAGACATTGTGGATATTAACTCTTGAACATCTGCTCAAATGATTGAGCTTTTATAAAAAACACAGTTTTGATTTTCATGGTGTGCTTTTGAAAGAGTATTTTTCACATACTCAAAGTTGAATGTGGTTAGGATATGCTATGTCCTATTTTCCTTACATTTTAGATATGATCCCAAAACAGACACATGGACCATGGTGGCTCCTTTGAGTATGCCCAGAGATGCTGTTGGAGTCTGTCTCCTTGGTGACAGATTATATGCCGTTGGTGGCTATGATGGGCAGACATACCTCAACACTATGGAATCCTATGATCCACAAACAAATGAGTGGACACAGGTAAGAGTGTTGCCAGCATAATACTTCAAATACAAGAATTTACTTCATTTACTTCGTTCTAAATTTCCTTGAACCCCAAGTGATTGATTTAGCCCATTTTCATGTTCATTTTGTAAAAAGTTCACTAAATCACATGTTTTTGTGTACTTTTCTCTTATGTATTTTATAATTAATAAAATTCATATTAAAATGTGATATTCATGCTTCAATGGGATTTCCACTTTATTATAAGTAATAACAAGGAACAGTAACTTAATTTTAATTAGCTGAAACAAAAAAAATCAAAGTGGAATATATTGGTTCACAAAATCCTAACTTTAGCATATTTGGTTTTAGAGATAGCTGGAATAAGAAGATGGAAAGCTACAGAAATCAACTTCTTGCCTCCCATTTTTGCTTTACTCCCTTTATTAGGCCCACTGTTACCGACTGCAGAGAACATTTACCATGGAGTGGAGATGCTAGAAACTCCAAGTAGCAATCCTCACAACCAAAAACAGAAAACAAAAACAAAAACAAAAACAAACCCCCTGCTTTTTAATTAAAAAACAAAACAAAACAACAACAAAACAAAGAAACAAACAGCAAAGGGCTCTAAATGATCTGTCATGTAGAAAGTGCTCACTCCCAGACAATCACTTTGGTCAGGAAGATTCAGTGAAATAATTAGCTGATCTTAAGTGAGGTGCTATCCCTTGATATACAGTACATTGTAGTTAGAGACTCAGGATAATGCTAGAATAAGGCAGCTCCCTGTCTGGTCACATAGCTGAGGATTTGTGTTGCATGTGTGGGTGCTGGGGGAAAATAAGGGCAGTGCAACCAAATTATAATGGAAAACCCCTTATTCAGTATAACTACTATGACCTCACTTTTAACGGAGGGAATGGATATATTCTAAGACTTGTGTCCCTGTATTTTATTACTTTCTACTCCAAATTTCTCAGTGTTTCTATTATTCCTCCCCTTTATCAGAAACTTAGAAGCAAGATACCATTCCAATAAACAAACCATTTCCATCAATGGATGCAATGAGATTCAAATGTCTCATTGAGCTGAAGCAGAATAAGAACCTCATCTCCTAATATTCCTCAGTGGATGGAGGGTTCCATTTTTTTGAGGGGGGAGGGATTGCAGAAATTGAACAAAGTTTATCTGAAGAACTTGAACACTGATTGAAGTAAATTTCTTTTAAAGATACTTACTTTTAAAGATATATAACTTCCTTGATTGTGCCAGTTTCGATATGTTCAATCACAATATTGAAATAGGCTGAATCTGAAGTACAAAACTAAATTCCGAATGTCCAGACTGCCTTATGGATCATACCCTTCCCGAAGAGAAAATCCTTTGATTTCACAGGAGATAAATGAATTTGGCTAAGAAGGAAAAAAGAAGGCAGAATGAAGGAAAGAAGGGAAGGTTTTTGGAAAACTGGGTCGTGTGATTTTCTGTGTTTCACTTTAATTCTAAGAAAAGAATCATTTCCTATCCAAAGAGCAGCAAATATAAAAGCAGTTTGTAATTATTGCACTAAGTTTTTAAAGGATATATTTTAACCTATCCTCCTTCTGATTCCTTAGTGTTTACAAAGGAGACACTGCATGTATTAATGATTGTTGATTTGCCAAGGAAATGTACCAGTTCAATGATACATATTTAAAATGTGCCACTTTCACAAATGAACATCAAATAAAGGAAGTTTACGGGCATATCAATGATAGAATGTAATCTTCATTTCGTGTTTATAATAAGCCATTTTGCTTATCATTCTTCTGAAATTAAAATCAAAATAATCTGTGTAGTAATAATAGGTAAAATTCTCCTGAAGACTATTTTCCCTCATCTGTATTTTATTGTGCTGTGTTTTGGATCATATAACAACTTACAAACAGGAAGGTGGTATTTAAAATGGTTTATAACAGCTTTACAAAAATGTTTTACAACAACTTTGTTTAAGTACAATAAACATTAATTGTAAAGCACTTAAATTACTCTAAGATTTTATGTCTATATATTTTCATTATTTATATTTTTAAGATAGCAGACACACACAAAATCACTTTGAAAATTTTCAGGATTCTAGGTCCCTGGCAAAAAAATCCTATATGTGCTGGACAATGCCTGTTACTTTCCCTCCATTTACCCCATAAATGGAAAAAACCAATATGTTATCCTATTTATCATTGGCGTCCCCAAATGGCTGAGCATTAGAGTAAATAAACAAACTATATTAAAATATCGAAGAATGTATATTTGGAACACTTCCTAAACTAGCTGATTATAAATAATGTTAATAGATTAGGGATCAGTTTCCAGATTCATGTCTTAGATAGTTTTACCGAGAATACATGCATACATGTATACATATGTACGTGTGTGTGTGTGTTTTAATAAATTTGACTTTGTCATTTAACAATGGGTTTATTTCTTCTGTTTTATTTGAAAAAAACAATATGTGTGCTTCAAGACATAAAAAAAGAACTTTCTTCCATTTCCCCTGGTATGGGTAAAATCACCCTTTCATGTGTTGTCTTGGCACATTGTCATAGTGCTGTTATGTTTTATCCACCCGTAACTATAAAGAGTGTGTGTGATTTACTATCATCTCCCCGAAGACTAGCAAAATTGCTGGCATGGAGTAAGAGACAATGTGAATATTTCTTAAATAAATTAGTTGAATATTACTGTTGCAACTCAGTTCTGTTGTGTATGAGTTTAGTTTGTTTACACACAATAGATATATGGCAGTATCCCCTTATCTGCACTTCTGCTTTTCCTGGCTTCAGTTAGCAATGGGCTGCTGTAGTTTGGGGGCAGGTGATTCTCCTCCTGATGTATCGTCAGAAGGTTAGTTGTAGCCTAATGTTATGTAACAATGCCAACATCATTCGCCTCATTTCATCTCATTACATAAGCATTTTATCATCTCACATCATCACAAGAGGAAGGGTGAGTACAGCACAAGATATTTTGAGAGAGAGAACACATTCACGTAACTTTTATTATAGTATATTATTATTATTGTTGTTCTATTTTATTATTAGCTATTATTGTTCATCTCTTATGGTACTTAATTTGTTAATTAAACCTTATCATAGGTCTGTATGTACAGGAGAAAAACAGTATAGAATGTGTTTGGTACTATCCATGGTTTCAAGCATCCTCTAGAGGGCT